TGGTGCAACGAGTGTGAAAGATTGCCTCACGTTGCAAACTCCCTGCTTTGCCAATCATATTGCTTAGTGTACGTCGAACCACCAAGCATTCTCCTTCATCGGGTCCAAGACACGCATAATCATCATGCTCCTCAAGGTTGCTGTCCACTTCAATTTCTAATTCGTCCTCCTCTTCATGCTCAATCAAAGTGACAATCCTTTTATTTGGACAATCACTAGCCAAATGTCCAAGGCCTTGACACCGAAAACATCTTCTTGGGGCTGGTTTTGGGTTGGAATTTTGGGTGTTTTGTGAAGGTGGTTTAGAAGTAGGCTGATTGGATGTGGGTTTGAAAGGTGGGAAATTTGATGTTTGCTTTTTTTGGGGAAATGAGGTTTGAGATGCAAAACGTGATGATTCACTTTTGCCTCTTGCTTTTTGTTGCTGCTCAATCTTATGTGCTAAGATAATGAGCTCTTCAAGGGTGGTGTAAGGGTGTAGTTCGGCCACATTGGCTATTTTTGGGTCAAGTCCTCCCAAAAAGCGCACCAATGTTTGAGGTTCATCTTCCTCTACTCCACATTTCATGACAAATCCTTCAAATTCCCTAGCATATTCTTCTACTGATTTTGTACCTTGTTTGAGGTTGTGGAACTTGGAAAAGTTTTCTTGCACATAGTATGTGGGAAGAAACTTTTGTTTCAGCATCTTTTTCATCTTGGTCCACGATCTCACTTTCTCTTTGTCTTGCCTTTCCCTTTTGGCACACACACTAGCCCACCAAGTTGAGGCATATTTTCTTAACTTCAAGGCTACAATCTTCACCTTTTTTTCTTCCGGTGTTTGCTTGTAATCAAACACTCTCTCCACCGTTCTAAGCCATTCTACAAACTCATCAGCATCGAGTTTGCCATCATACTCCGGGATGTCAGCCTTAATGTCATTATTAGGCCGTGACCTTTCTCTTTCATGAAAAGGTCTATCATTGTGATTGAAATTAGATTCACTCACTTCTTCATCACTATGATTGGGTGAACCCTCTTTTTGATGGCGCAACTTAGTAGAAAGATCTTTTAACTGACCTTGCAAATATTGCATTCGTTGCTCCATATCTTCTTTCTCTTGTGCAACCTTATTGACATATTCTTGCCAATTAGGGGGTGGGATGTCGGACATGGTTTGTGTTTGGGGTATGTGTTTGGGTATTTGTTTGCTAGATCCCCCTCCTTCTAGCGCCAAATGTTGTATATTTGGAGTAACACTCGAAATACACAAGGGATAAACCAAGGGATAGATAAGGCTAAAGAACCAAAGGCTTCTTAGATAAAGTCACACCACTAAGAAACGTTTTGGATTCCTAAGATCACAAGCCAACTAGTAACCTAAACTAGCTAACTAAGCAAAGGAAACGAAATTTCAAATCCAAGAATTTCAGGTTTTTGTTTCTAATCCAAGAAACGAATGTAAGACAAGTTTTTTTGTTTTAATAATCTGATTTTTTTCATTCACATTTGCTTGCTATTTATAGTAAACAAGCATCCTTAAGTACAAGCTAACTTAAGTGGCTGTTCAGCTCACTTGTTACACGCCTAAGCTTAAGCTAAGTACAAATCAGCTTTTGTTGTCTAGATACATTAATAAAAGAAGCCTTATTTAACTAGATACATCAAAGAGAAAATGGTGGCTTATAACCTCCAAATTAAGGCTGAAATAAAATCAGAATTAAGAGAGTGTAACTCCCCTTAATTCACGCCCATCCAAGCAGCAAGTTGGAGATGTATTTCCTCCAATTTTCACGCCCAAATTCAAACAGCAAAGAAGTGTAACTCCTCCTTGGTTCAAGCCTTGAAATTAGCTTGAATGTATGTGGACAAGGGTGTACTTGGACGCCCTTTAGTTGCTCCAAAAGCTGACTGAATTAAACAGCCAATTGAAGGCTGAAATTAAGGCTTAAGATGCTCCAATGTTGACTGATATCAACGGCCACTTGAAGGCTGAAGTTAAGGCTTGTAATGGCTTGTAATTCCTCTTTGAAAACTGATTGTAACTCCCAAGTCAAAGCTTTGAAATTCCTTGTAAAAGAATTTCGGATTCCAAGCTTAAATGGCTGCCATATTGATGTATCTTTGTACTTGTACTTTTGTGTGAATGTGACAATAGTTTTCGAACTAAAATCAGATAAAAAGAACTAAGAAAAAAATATAACTAATTTGCAAACTTAAAATGACTAAAGTTTACAATTTATTCAAAGCATAAAAAGAACTAAAATAAACTAGTTAATAAGAACAACAAGAAATTCAAGGGGTTGAATATCTTGCTGCCCAAGGATAGAATGCATAGCACCAATACATGATGCTACGTCTTGAACCAAAGAAATGTCCATAACCAAGTTGTTAGGCTTGGCTACAACAACTGGTACACTTATGTATTTCAGTCGCTGGATGTAGCGTATGGGGAGCCGCATCCGTTGAGTCCTCGGGAGGGTCAAAAGCAAAGGGTGGAAAGCATAGAGGTGCAACGAACTACGCGGGAGGTAGACGCAGAGAATATTACGCGGGAGGTATAATCCAAGTCAACGATATTTTCATACGTAGCTCTGTAATGTATAAAAATAAGTGACATGTGCTATGGAAACTGTTAATAGTTTGTGCTCATGCTTTGTTGAAGGTGTTGGATAAAATAACTCCCGCCATGGTGGCTCTGGCAGATCATAAAATAGGGACTACGCGGGAGGTAGATGCAGAGAATATTACGCAGCAGGTATAATCCAAGTCAACGATATTATCATACGTAGCTCTGTATTGTATAAAAATAAGTGACATGTGCTATGGCAGCTGTTAATAGTTTGTGCTCATGCTTTGTTGAAGGTGTTGGATAAAATAACTCCCGCCATGGTGGCTCTGGTAGATCATAAAATAGCTGACGTTATGAAAGAAATGCATAAGCTGATGTCGCATTGTGTTGACATCGCTAATGCCTTGAGGGCGAGTAGGGGGCAGGCAATCGAGCGGGATAGGCGAACGGAGAAGGCTGGTGTTGCGCATGAAGAACATGCTATGTTCAACGTGTTAGGGGATGAATCCAAGGTGACTGGGGCTGACAGCGGTCCTCCCTCAGAGTTAAATGTCTGTTATTCTGATCATGAAGAGGAAGATGTGAACGTGGAGCCTGGACCTGAAACTGTTGTATGCTCGCTTGGGACAAGGGGAACGACTGTCTTGGTTGATTCTCGGTGCATATTGGAAAGGTCATCTTCATCTGATGAGGAAGATGAGTCTGTTGATGGGAGCGTGGTGAAACCTACCGAGGCAACCTTGTCAGCCATGTTCACCAATGTATCAAACACCCGTCGCCATACAGCGTTGGAGACACGTCTGCTACAGTTTGTTAAGCAGTGGAAGGACCTGAAGGATCCACTTAGGTAATTCAGAAAAGTGTATTTGAGTGTGAAAAGTCTGTTTATTATGCATGCCTTTTGCAAAGTTTTTGTATTAATTGTAAATTCTAATATTTTTATGTGTATACTTGGTGTTATGATGATGGTTCACCACATAGCCGTGGTATGGTGATGATAAAGTGTGATCACATGGAAGCCAGCCAGAGGGATTGCTATGAAGTGGTGCACAATAAATCTCGAGTTTCCACTGACTACGTTAGAATGGCCAGTGTGCTATACACCAAGCAATGGGCCACCAAAGATTTTCTGAACAAAAGCAAGTGTTTTTTTCTTAACCCAAGCTTTTCGGTAAGTGGTTCGGGGTTCATTTCACCATTCGGGTGACATATTTACGTTCACATTCGATGATTATCATGCTTCTTGTTTTTATTGTCTGGATCGTAGAATCGACTGTTGTTGAACGAAGGGAAAGAAGAGGATATTTGTAGGAAGTATGCCAAATCTCTCATCAGCTCTAACCTGTCGGATATTCGAGCGATCAGCAACTTACTCACATAGTCCAATAATATAGCGCAGGTTTAAATGTGTTTTCCATGCATATGCGCTAAAATTGTGCTTACGACATTGACATTGGCATTTAAACAGGTTTTTGTCCCAGTCCTCGAAGTTCCTCATGATTCCCCTGGAGATTCGCACCGGTGGTGCTTAGCTTTAGACATGAAGGCTCAATGGTTGTGGCTGATAGATTCCATGTACCCTGCGCCGTTCGACACACATGCCAGGGAGATTGATCTTCTGGAACTAATGATGACTTTCATTCTAAACAAACATGGTATTTATTGGGACCATTTAGTAATGTGTAATGTGTTTGTCAAACTACAGCTTAGTAGCTTGGACGTCCTTTTCCAACTCTGTAACCCATCATGGAAGCTTGGTCACCTACAGTCTTGGACCAAATGCACTGTTGAGATTTTAGACCCAAAGGATAAGTAAGAACTTGTGTTCCCTGGTTTGTTTATTGTGCCAATGACTATCTGCCTACCTTTAAGGTCAGGAGAACGTATCTTCAGCTTTCATGTTGATTGTTGTCCTCTAATATGCAGCTCATATTGCGGTGTTCTTGTTGGTTTTCTTGTAGCCGGTTTCAGCTAACGTCTTGTGCCTTGAACCCTTAGGCCTGCCCCTTTTCCTTTTCTTAATTATAGGGTCTTTGATAACAAGGTCCATGGCAGCTGGACAGGAGTCTACGGCAGTAGCATCAGCAGCAGGATTCCTAACTGAGGAAAACGTTTTGCCTTCAGTGGCTGATGACAATGTACTAACTACAGGAACATTTTCCTTACTCTTCTTGTCCCTACGCTCATTAACAGCTAATTGAAGCTTCGATAGTGTTTCAATTACCATATAGACCGTTTGATCGTCCACCATGGAAGCGGTTTCACATAAGGGCTCGAGTTTTTTCATCATTTTGTTGAATCTCTTCACATTGACCGTGTCCCCCGGATCATGGTAGGACACCTTCACCCTAGTGTGCTTCCGGGGTATGTCCTTCCTCCAACGGTCTAAAACGTACTTCACTAGTAGATCTTTAACCAAGTTTACATCCAAAATCGTAATACAGTGTTAGCAAAGTATGCCACTAGTCTCAAACTTCCTACAGTCACACTGCACCTCCTTTGTCATTTGACAGAAAGTAACATTGTAGGATCTTCGCCTGTTTGTAATGACATCCTCACTCGCACCGGGAGGTACTATCCATACACGATCGACCACCGAATACTGAATAAGCTTTTCAGACAAAACCTTCTCTCCTCGGACGTTGCAATACATCATTCTCGTACACTCCTTTTGAACTTCTTGAAACTTGTTGTCCGTGTATAACTTTTGAAATATTTTTTCGACTTTGAATCCACTAACCAACCTCCTAAGGTACTTCGAGCAACGCGCATCTACACTCAGTTCATCTCGAACGCGTTGATCAAAGGCCATGCAATACTTTTGAGGAAACTCATGGAGTTTTGTTTTGCGGTTCACATAGCCGTCAAAAAACCGATTAATGCTCTCCACCCTTTGTGTGGTCTTCATACCGGCCCAAAAAAACTCCTTCATGTATGCAGGCACCCACATATGCTCTGTAGCCATTCATTGTCCTCCAACTTATACTCGACAATAAACTCTGCCCATCGCGTTTGAAACTCCTCGGGGTCAAAGCTCTCATATACCAGCTCTTTGAGGGGGTTGACGAAGTCCTGGTAACTACACAAAAATGATAACAGCAGACCAGCAACAACAGGTTAGCTTGTCTTGATTATGGGAATTAGATTATTACGCCTTTGAAACTAATATCAAGACCTTGGAAATTGTAAAGCCATAAGGAGGAATTTCACTACATACCGTGCACACTTGCCAAGTTTCTCATGGATCTTGCTCATGATATGCCATATGCACCAACGATGCACCGTGTTTGGCATGACTTCAGCAAGGGGCCTCCGCATAGCTTCCACTTGGTCGGTCAATATGGCTTTAGGAGCTCGATTGTTCATGCAAGCTAACCACTGTCGAAATATACACGTGAACGTATCGCAGTCTTCATGTGAAACAAGAGCACATCCCAACAACAACGATTTCCCATGGTGGTTCACACCAACAAAGTTCGCAAACGGGAGCTCGTACTCATTCGTTAGGTATGTTGCGTCGAAGCAAACCGCATCACCAAAGTCCTCATATGCTACCCTACTTCTTGCATACACCCACAACACATCCTTAAGCCTCCCTTCTTCATCCAAACGTTGAACATGGAAAAAATTTTGGTTCCCGGTTTGCATTTTGTCAAAGTACTCCATCATTTCCACCGAGTCCCCTCCAACCATCTTCAACTGCCTAGCCTTGTACACCTCATGTTGTAAATCTTTTAACGTCAGATCCATGTTACCCTTCCGTTCGGTCGCCATGATACCGTGTATTTGAGAAACTGGTACACCTTGCTCGTACAAATCTGTCAGCGTCTTCTTCGCTTTGCAGGTCATTTGCTTCATGCGGTACTCCTTAACAAGCTTATAATTTGCCGGATCAATCGCGTGATTATGCTTTAGTTCCACGCTCTTCAACTCCCACAAGCCATCTTCGTTAACTTTAGCATAAACACGGGCATGACATTCACACTTTTTCGAAGTCCTCTTCATACCACTTAATTCATCCGCACATACCAACCCATCAACTAAACCAACTGAACCTCCATGACTCATTGCCTTTTCCCTCTTCTTCGCTTCCCTCCTAGCCCTCATGTCGGGTTTTCCCTAGCACTCACACTTCCACGTGACTTTGATTTTTTTTGGGTCCCCCGTCTTAGAATATACACCTTGAGCCCTTGTCACTCCAAACCCAATCTGCTCAGCATAGTCCTTATAGTAGGCTTCAACCTGTTGCCAACACTAGAAAACCATCCCTTCCTTAGGCTCCTCAACAACTACAGCTATTTCGTTGCTACCAACCAGAGTCATGTCATCTGCACAACTACCTGCAACAACTATGTCTTCTATACCCTCCTCCATATGGACGTTACCCCGAGACTTAACTCCACTGCCACAATCATCAGGCTCCTCAACAGCTACTGCTATTTCGTTGCTACCAACCACAGTGTGAGTCGTATCAATTGTTTTCACGGGGGATAAAAACCTAACATCCATGTCAAGTGCACAACTACCTGCATCATCTAAGTCTTCTGTACCTCCTCCATATGGACGTTACTCCGAAACTTAACTCCACTGCCACAATCACCAACAACAACCTCACTGCCCCTTATAACGCTTTCTGTTTCCATTTGCATAATATCTATCTTCTCCAACAACAACAATTCACCCTTCAAATAAAGAACACCAACATAATTACTACGATACAAATTAATACAGAACGCTAACATAATTATAATATAAAATTTAACACAAATCAACCAAACACGTTTCACATCACACATTCAACCCAACGCAGAAATACAACCATCCGACACAAATTAACCAACCAATTGAACAACCAACACAACCAATTTTCACATAAACTAACAAATCAACACAGGGATTTTTTTTAAAAACATACGAAGACAACACGTTCTCAAAAAGTACAAAATTGCAGTGTAAACAAAATCCTCCGGCCATTTCCGGCAACCTCAACCCCATTTTTAACAGACGAAAAGGTCCTTAAAATCCTATTGCTTTCAAAATTATTCTGACTTCGGTCCAAATTATGAATTCATTTTCATGAATTGTGGGCGCATGACAACTACAGAACAAAACTGAAGACTACAACAAGCGACGATAACATAGATCAGAAAAATACCTCGTAATTCGAAGATGTCGGTGGTTTTTTCAACTGGGCTTGTACAATTCGTCGATGTGTGAAGAACAGAGCTAATTCTCCGAACAAGCTCCGTGTTTTTTCAACTGGACTTGTACAATTCGGCGATGTGTGAAGAACAGCGCTAATTCTCCGAACAAGCTTCTGGGTATGTGAATATTTTCCCGCCAAAACGTGAAGAAGTTAACGCCATCCCTCCAAGTCTCCAACAGATTGACGGAAGGATGTCATAGACAAATCCAAATCAGCAACTTGACACGTAGACGAATCTAGCTCAGCAAGTCAGTAAGTGAAAAACTTCCACTTATTTTCTGAATTGCCACTGTGATTAACAAACTTATTACTCACAGTGAGTAACATGGAATTCGCGCACTTAATCTCTCCGGACAAGAACATGTGACGATGGTGCACGACTTGTTAAATGTCGAATTCATGACCACCAAGACACGTGACAGTGATGAAGAAGATAATAGGGATGAAATTGATCGCGCCTACTTCTGCGTGAATTGTAGAGGAAGGAGTTTAACTAAATCTGAGTTAGACAAGTTTCATAAAGATCATTATGTGTTGAGGGCTATGAAGTGTTCAGGGAGTTACGGATATGTTATTAAGGAAATCGCTCCACTTTTCGAAGATCTTTTTGAGGTTCATGAGTTTAAATTAATGGACATTACCTTTATTTCCCCAAGTTTAGATAAAAAGACAATCACCAACAGGTCAACTACAAGTAAATTCATGGTAATTGTTGTGCTAATTGTAAGCATCTTCTGGTCAAAAGTGGGTTCTTATTTTGCTCGATCAATTGCAAGCTTACTTGTCCGAGTGATGTTTTGCAACAACATCTCGAGTGGATGAATTCAAAACAAAATCAAGTTAAGCTGCCTGTTGTGAAAAAGATGAAGATTGCCGATAGGGAACTGACCAAGGAGAAAAACAAAAACGATCTGAAACAAAATCAAGTTAGGCTGCGTGTTGCGAAGAAGATAGATTGTCGATAAGGAAATGACCAAGGAGAGTAACAAAAACAAGAAGATGACCAAGAAGGAAAGTAACAAAAACGAGAAGCAACAGGTCTCAATTGATGTCTGGTAATTCTCTGTTTCTCATTGTGAGAAACAAGTTTTGTTTCTAATGGGGTATGTGTCAAGATCTGGAGCTCCCACTCATGACACATACGCGATCTCCACTAGTAAAAAAAACATCACATTATTTTCCAAAATGCCATTATGAGAAACAACGGTGTTTCTCATAATGAGGAATTGGGGCTCCCTCATTGATGTCGATCTTGGAGGATTGATTACAGTTGCGAGAAGGAGGCCGATGGGAAGAAGCTAAGCAATGACTATAGCCATTCCTATCGGAAGAGAAAGTAGGAAAGGAAGCCATCATAGAGCTCCTTTTTACTAATTCATTTCTAAATTGGTACTTCAATTAGTATTTGTTTTGGGTTACAAATTATATATATATTGCTAGCTACATCAAAACTAAAGAATGGATCACAAAGTTATAGTTGTATGTAGTTTATAGTAGCATTGTATTGGAGTGATGAAGTCCATTCTATTTATTCTTTATATACACTAGTACATAACTAACCTTGAGTAAAACCCAAAAAGTGTTACATAAAGTGGTAAAAGTGTTCTTAAAGACAATAGGTAACACTTCAATGGGTGATACATCCGCCCATGTTCCCTAAGGTCTTATGTAACACTTTGGGTTACGTATGGTAACACTTTTAAAAGTGCTACTATAAACCCACTTATGTAACACTTTTAAATATTTTTAGTATCATTTTTGAAGTGTTACTTTCTATTCTTATGTAACACATACTTATCTTTAGTAACATTTTTCAATCATATAGAAATACATAATCTGTGCATCACTTTTGCAAGCTAATGTACCACCTTGTTGATTATTAGGTAACATTTTTCAATCATCTTTTGACATATAGTATCACTATATTAAACATTATATATCACTTTTTGCAAACTAATGTAATACCTTGTTAATAAATTGGTAACATTTTATTATTATTATTATTATTATTATTATTATTATTATTATTATTATTATTGGTGGTGGTTTCCCATGACATAGGTTATGGGCACCGGTTCAAGGCCCAAACTAGCTTGAATCGGTGCCCTTAAGTCCGGCACCGGTTTTTCCCTTGAACCGGTGCCCTTTATGCTAAATAAAAAAGTAAAATTGATAAACAAACGATTTTATATATAAGTATGTATAAACTTAGAGATTTTTATTAATAAATGATTGAAAATATTACAATTTCATTAAAAAATAAAAAAAAAATAAAAAAATAAAAAAAATGCTAAAGGTTAGGTAGCAGTAAAGCACAACATTAATAGCAGCAGTATTGAAACAAGATCATTCACAGCCTCCTCCTTTAATGCCTCCCTTTCTATGAGTACTGGCTATTGGGATGGGAGTCGCATCCTCTGAATGCAGACACAAGTGCATTGGTACAAGGTTCGTCAAATAAAATGGAGATGCTAAGCACACTGAAACAGAAAGTTCATTAATTATTTACTACAATCTCAGTTATGAAAATCTACAACTATAAGTATAAGAGTTCATAGTTCACTATAATCTCAGTTAACAATTCAGAATGACAGACGCAAATAAAAATGAATAAATTCCACCTTTATAGCTTCACAGTTTTTTGTTAGTAAGTTGGATAAAGAGTAACCGGATATAAGGTTGTTATGCCCTGACAAAAAAAAAAAAAAAAAAAAAAAAAAAAAAAAAAAAAAAAAAAAAAGGAAATTAAGCTGGAAGCTCAATTAATTAAAGGATGAAAAAGTATCAAACATAACACCTTGACCAAGTTATTTACCCACTAAGAAAGTTGAGATAGTACAAAACCAGAATCCAACAAATCAGCAACTGTTTATCGTTCAGTATTCAGACTGTATAGTCCTGCATAGTAAGACCAAGAGAATAGATTTGAGTATTGATTCATGAAACTACTGAAACAAAACCAGAACATATAAAAAAGAAAAAAATTCACCGTTGCAGTTATACAATATGGTAGACAGGTAAGTTCAACAAGCGCAGTCAGATGGTTTATATATGCTTAGAAGTTCTAATCGACTAAAAGAACAGGGCACTCACAAAATCTGAGAATACATAAGAGAATGATATATGAAAAATCAAATGTAAACTAAAAAGAAAGACACTAGTACATAAAATGCGGTTCAGTTTCTAAGGAAATTGCTAAAAGTTCTTAACTTGAGGAAGTTTCAGGTATAATAAAGATCCTTTCATACATTGTGTGGTTCACAGAAGACTTAGAGGTGCATAAGAGGATGCCAGTTACCAGTGAGCTTATTTAGCAACACTCTCCTAATGATATATGTTTTCAAGTCTCTTTTTGTTGTTTTAAAATTTCATGAGATAAGTGCTATTTATTTCTATGATTTCTAGCATCTGTAACTTGTTTGTTTGAGGTCACTCCCAATACCTATGAAATTTTCAAAAGTCTACGTGATGGAAGAAATATCAATATTCTGTCACCTATGAAAGGGCATCCTCTGAGATGTATTATTGCATTCAAGTGATTAATTTCAACTCCCCTAACCTTTTCACTAAGAATCATTTTCACTTGATTTGTTCTGATTATATTCTAAAAAAGAAATTGCATTTAGATCAGAAATTCTACACGAATTGTATCAAGAAACAGTCTAACATTACACCGCCATGCTCAACTTCACTACTTGTATCCAACCAAAAACATCTTCACTAAAAAGAAAAATCAAAAATTGAATTTGAACCCAACAAAATGTCCAACCAAAGTCATCTAATAATTATAACTAAAACTTTGACAAATTGTCTTCCCAAATTCTCACTAATACAAAATCAAGACCGCCCACATTAAAAGAGGGGGGGGGGGGGGATGGATGATTTTCAAAATTTATTGAACACAACAAACAAAAAACACATAATTAGATAGAATAAATTAATATAATATGATTAAAATTCAGGTTTCATTAAAATAAATCATTTAAAAATCACATATTAAGGGGAAAAATGACATAAATTGGAGGAGTTGGAGGTGAGTTACTAAAGAACTCCTTGTTTGATTAAAAAGAACTGATAATGAGACTAAAAAGCAGGTTAATTTCTACCTCAAATGCGGACGTCTCTGTTAATATGCTGCACTTGCTTCCTTCAATTCATCGGAGCCCCCATGCACATATCCCCTCCTCGGGGTTGATAAAAACCATATGAAAACCTCCTATCAAGAGTGCCCATGCTAGGCAGCTTGTCACAACTGAGGGAATCCACCCAACTCGACATTCCAAAAGTAAATTTGGCGAAGGAAAAATATAAAATATAAGCAAACTACTCCATCAATACTTCAATATAGCCATGTTAAACAATTTTAGCATCTTGTCTAAAGGCTACAAACCTCACATACTAAATTTTTAAAGAGCTGCATTAAACATAAGAAATCGAATAAAGCCAACAAATGAAACAATCATAAGAAAGGACCAGAGTCACTTCATTAGCCAATATTATAAATATACAATTGCATTTTTGTTAGCTTGTTAAGAAAATGACATTGACTTACAAACCCAAAAGTGGAGTCAACTGGAGTGTCTTTTGAGATGGCGGAAGAAGACTTCAACATTGTAGTTGGGTATAAGTAGTGGTATAAGCACCTGCAAATTGTTCAATTCCCAAACGAAATGCAAATAAGTATACAGATCCTTCAATCCATCGAGCTCCCATGCCCATATCCCCTCCTCGGGGTCAACAAAAACCATATGAAAACCTCATATCAAGAGTGCATATGCTAGGCAGCTTGTCACAACCGAAGGAATCCACCCAACTTGACATTCAGAAAGTAAATCTGGCAGGAAAAAAATAAAATATAAGCAAACTACTCCATCAATACTTCAATATAGCCATGTTAAACAATTTTAGCATCTTGTCTAAAGGCTACAAACCTCACATACTAAATTTTTAAAGAGCTGCATTAAACTGTGATTAAACATAAGAGATCGAATAAAGCCAAGAAATGCAACAATCATAAGAAAGGACCAGAGTCACTTCATTAGCCATTATTATAGATATATAATTGCATTTTTGTTAGCTTGTTAAGAAAATGACATTGACTTACAAACCCAAAAGTGGAGTCAACTGGATGTCTCTTGAGGTGGCGGAAGAAGACTTCGACATTATAGTTGGGTCTAAGTAGTGGTATAAGCACCTGTAAATTGTTCGATTCCAAACGAAATGCAAATAAGTATACAGATCGAGAAAAACAAGCTAACAAAACAAACAATTACTCAAGGACCGAACTAATAACATAATAAGAGTTTAATTTAAAAATTCAAAAGGCACAAAGGATCAAACGACACTCAAATTCAAATTGATAAAATACTATATTAAATGAAAGATATATATTTATGCCTTTTATATAAACAACCTTTAAACTTATTTATATAACCACAATTTTGTAGAAAGGTTGTTATTTAGTTTCATGCTTCTACAATTGAAAAGTATAAAACAGCAACTTGAAATTAAAATGATACTTAATTAAATGAAAAGTATGCTACTATTCTATTTTCCACTACTATTCATAAACTATGACAAAGATAGTCATTGATACAGAGGGGTTAACTATGTATTTTTGGTATTTGTAACATCGATTTGTGAATTACCAATAGACCGATTTCAGCACATAAATAATGCAAGGTACCAAAAACAGAAGCTAATTGTTAAAACTGGTGAAGAGGAATCATGGAGAAGACATTCTTATCAGATTATTGAAGATTAAATTAAAATAAAAAAAACCCAATTACAATTTCAAGCTAAAATAATTAATAGATAAAATTAAAAGATAGTTTCACCAAATTTTCAAGTCTGAATTTAAAAGAAAAACGAACCTAATTTCAATTCGAACCCAATAATTCACTCATCCATTCTGAGATGATGGTTTTCGTGCAGTTCGGGGGGCACTTGAGTCAGCCGCCGGGATTGGTTGAAGAAAAGGAAACCCCGACGACCATCTAAATTCAGAAGTCGATCTTAGTAGTTTCGACAAACCCTAGATTTTAAAATAGATATTCGATGATTAATTACAAGAAAGAAAATCTTACCTCAAAATTTGTTTCAAATGGAGGAGAGAAATCCCGAAAGCCGCGATTAAAAGGAACCGATAATGAGACTAAAGCCGCAATTACCACTGAATCTGCTTCAATGGAGGAGAAAGAACAAAAGCCGCTTCAATGGAGAATCTTAACGGCAAGGAAATTGCAATGAACCACCAGACAATGGAAAAAGATGGTTATTGGCATGCCCTCCGAAATCCGAATTTCATTGCATGCTTTAGGAGGAGAGAATACTTGAGCACACTTCAATGGAAGAGATAGAAATCTCACAGTATGCCTAAAAAACTCAATGGAGGAAATCAGGAGAGAAAGTGGACTAAAGCTACGCGCAAAGAACAAGGAAAAATAAAGGGCGGATGTGTATTTACACTTTTTGAGGGGTAAAAATGTCCGAGCACTGTATATATAAATGTATTAACAAAAGGCAATCCTTATTAGGACTTAAGGTGTTGGGGCTTTTATAATCCCTTCGCCCGAGGTTATCTGCAACAAAGGACAATATTTCGGACTCCTGGACAATACTTTTAGGGGAGTGTTACTTGAGTTTTGGTGGGTTTATTTAATGAGAGAGAAAGGTAAAAATACAAAATTACCCATATGATGATATATATAAACTAAACATTTAAGTGTTGAAAAATAAGGATATATTTAGTATTTGTAGTGTGAACACAAATATTTGTAGTGGGTTTTAGGTAGTGGGTAATAGGTGGTGGAGGGGACCACTAACCAAAAAAGTGGGTAATTAATAGTTAAATATTACCCAAAAAGGAAAGAAAAAAATTTGTTGCAAATAATATAGAGCACCCATTTTAGGTAAATGTTGCAGATAATTGCGGGCGGAGGGAGTAGGTGAATTAGGGATAGGGATGTTATAGAAATAAGGTAACACCTCTTCATGTTACCATAAAATGTTACATTGTTACCTATTTAAAAAGTGTTACTTTAGAATGTTACTTATGTTAAAAGCGTTACATTGAATGTTACATTCTAAAAAGTGTTACCAAAGTGTTACACATAAAGCTAATAATTTTGCATTTCAAAAAGTGTTACCAATACGTGTTACATAAACTTAATTATGTACTAGTAATATATGTATTGATGATGATATTATTTTTGTAACACTCCATGAGTTTCATGATTACATTTTGAGTTTTGCCTTTAAATTCATAACGAAGTAACTCAGCAATTGCTATGTTTTAATTGCCCTAATCAATAATATAGATCAAAGATCATTGATTCGATCTAATGAGACAACTAATATGAGATTCTCGATGCAAAGTAGGCTGATAATATATAATTGCTGGTTTTAAATGTCATACAATCAAAAGCCTAAGAAGTCATAATCTATGTTGAAGTCGTAATGCATTACAAAAACAGCGTCATCCTCATAGATTAAGCCTAATATAGAAGCAAAATTAAATGCCCCTAAACTTGGTATAGAACCATCAACAAAAGCAGTACGGGTCTTCCCTTGTGCACAGCTCGTTTAATCCCGCAGTTTTTGTGCATTAGGACACGGAGGACATAAGGCTTGCAATTTAGTGGTTGAAAACCGGGAATACAAATACTGTGATAATTTTACATATTTTGAGTATGTTATCCTAAGGTAAAGACGTGAAAATATCATGAACAAATTTTTTTTGTCATTGGTGCACTTAGGTATCAAAGCTGCCCTTCATAATACTAAAAGAAAATCCTAAGTGCTTACTAAAAGCTCTAGAACAAAATAATACTTCGTACAAATTAAAGGTCATCTTCCCGCTTCTTCGCCTTCTTTTCTTTCTCCTCCTCTAGAAAATTGATAGCACTTTCAACATCCTGCTCATTCATCCTCAAAGCTCTCTTAGCTTCATATTCGTGATAGCCCATGCTCATTGGCGGTGATAAACTTGAAGTTGAATAAAAAAGACGATACATCATCATTTAGAGCAGTGATCTGAAGCCAGTCTGATATTTTGGCAAAAGATATACTATATGTTGAATATGAATGATATATATATACAACAATAAAGACAGTAAAACAAGGATCATGAAATCTTTAATAGTCTCAAAAAAAAAGCAAACATATCAACACAACCACTTCAAAATCAAGTACTATTCTACACATGTTGGTTACTATATTGTCTACTCTCTAGTGGAAAGGTTGTCTACTTTGGTTCAGCTTCAGGCCTTCAGCTGCTAATAAGGTAACGTTTAATATTAAATAAAATTTTGTGTAACCTACTTAAAGTCATTTAATAAAGCAAATGGATAATTCTGATTAGACAAGCCGACATCTAAATTTTAAGGTTTAAGTGAATTTTTGTATACAATTTTCCGTGGACTTTTAATATTTTCACATAATAATTGGCCAGTTTACAATATCAAATTCATATTACAGTCATATTTGTAAGAGGTCAAGTTTTTATTCAATCAACTTTTCATGAATTTTCAAGACATCAACCAATTTTGGCTTCTTAGACAGGTCATTTTTAACAGATCATTTTCTGACACAAACTTGTTTTACTTTCTAAGCAGTTTTTCACTTTAAGTGGACTCCCCTGCCCAACCATGCAAAACCTTTCTGATCACTACCTAAGAACCATCAACAAGGACTTCAAAACAGCTGTAAGTACGCCTTGAAATCTTTAATATGTACTGCAATGGACTAGAAAAAATGCATATGAATGATTTATCAAAGTTGTATGACTTGGTGCGTGCTCTTGTTTTAGGATATCGAACAAGGATTTGATGGGACGCAGAGCACTGAAGAAGTTATTAACACTCTTGTAAATTCATACAAATCATCACAAACCTATCAATAAATTCAGCAACACAATTCACTGATATGCCAATAGGTACTAAGCTTAAATTCTATAAAATCTATTTGATTTATAGTACTAAATGCTTCCAAAGTTTAGTAAAGTTTCAAGCATGATTTAGAATTTATGAAATTTGATCAACTTTAATGAAGAACAAAACTTACTTAAGTGAAGATATTCCAAATATTACTCAATTTTACATTAAGGACAATGATGAAAGCTCTATGGATTATATCTTATGTAATTATATTTTGTTTGTGGTCCTTCTCCTTTATCACTTTCAAGTTCCAACTTAGTACTTCTACCCAAGATAAACTCTTATTGGGATCAGTTTGACAGTACACGAAACCTAAAGAAAGGCTAATTTTTTTTCAAAACCTTTGTTTTTCAATGTGGTCCATCCTAAATAAAACAGAAAGATGAAATTTGTCCATGAAGGATTTTGCAATTCAGAAAGTCATGAAGGATAAAATAGCTTCGTATTTGATCAAAGTTGCAATAAGAAATTAAGCACACACATGTTGACAAACAAGAACGTTCATCACACACAATTAAAGTAAAGTTAAAAAATATATGGAAAGGGCGGAAGTGAGAAGGTTAACATAAACCTGGTTTTAGTTTTGGTTAGCAAGACTGCAAGAGGATGAGATTCCATGCTATAAACCTTGATCAACCACCTGGAATCAATTAATTTAATGGGAGATTAGATTGTTGACAAATGACAAGTACTATATGAATATCTCTAACAAAATACAGTACTATAGAAGAGAAATGATACAGGGGAATTGGGGTTGGTGTTGTTGCAGTTGACACACGGACGAAGAAGAAGATGAAGATGAAGACGAAGATGACATCCGGAAGTTATTCCTTTCCCTTGGAATTGATCGGATTTCTCCTTTCTCTTTCATTTTAATTCTCCCCATCTGCTCCTTATTAACCTTACTTATTTTCCCACCTACAGTAGTTCATATTCCCCTACTCCTTAAGAAAAGGTTAATTGATCATCTTTTAATAATTTGAATGCAAATTTTAATACATTAGACATAACTTAATCTAATTTTACAGTTAGACCTTGTGCTTTTCATATTAATGAATCTTGATGAAATAGAATTGAGTAAAACTAAATCCAGAAATTAAGAAGTGAGTCTAAAAAATAGGGTAATACTCCTCATTGCCTTCTGGTTAGTTCTTAGGACTATACATCACAAAAAGTTTGAATGTAATTAATCCAACAATCTTATTCGTCCTTCCTAAATATATTTCATATAATCCATACATTTATGCTACTATTTAATTGGTGAAAAATCTCTTTGTAAATTAGGGTTCTATCAACACCAAGATTGAATTTACAACGAACATATGAAAAATCCATACCAGATTATAAATAAAAAAATCCCAGAAAGAGGAAATTGACGACTAAATCGGCATTGATCAAACAAAACCCTCTCCCAAAAATCAAATAAAAAAGAAAAAAATATAATCCATCTAAGAACCCTAATTGATTATACAGACAATTAAATTAAACACTACTCGAGTACTCGAGGGTCATAAACAAGGATAAAACGATACCTCAGAGAAGATCAGAAGAAGCTGTTTCAATGGAGGAAAGTTCAGAGTGAGAGAAAGTGCACGAGATTGAGAAGGATTTCATTCTTTTGTGACTCAAGTCACTGTTGAGACTCGGTAGTGTTGACAAGCCACCCGGACTTTAGACACACGTGGCATTTAGACAATTTTATGAACACTTTTTTACATATGGCATATAGACGACACACTCCGAGTATTACTTGCGTAATGCGTATAAATAAGACTACACAAAACTACAAAAGTATAAAGATTATACGAAGTCTTGTATTTATTAAATTTTAAAAAATTAAATTAATAGACATAAAAATTGTTGATATTTAAATTTAATCACCATGGCGTACAACAACAGTAAAAAAAAAAAGAAAAAAAAAAAAAAAAATATATATATATATATATATATATATATATATATATATATATATATATATATATATTTCATCAATTAAAAACCTAAAATTAAAAATTATGTTTGATAAATTAGAAGAAAGGAGATCTATGAGGGATGCCCTTCCTACTCTTCTTCCTATAGTTAATAGAACACTGTTGCTTCTCTACGGCCGTAGAGGTTGTTCTTGATGTATCTAGTTTGTCATCATTAGTCATCAATTTCCTCTTGTTGTTGTTCTTCTCTGCGACCCTTGACAATTGGACTTGATTTTGATCTAGCATCTCACTATGATGTTGGTGCAAACCACCTTCCGAACCAATAAGCTTACACTTTATCGAGCAAAATTTTACATCTTGTGTTAAAATGGAGTTGCATGTTACACAACAAGCTTTGTTTTTATTATTCTTGATTTTATCATTCGATTTAGTAGCTCTAGATTTTGGAAAGCAAATATTTTGACCATTGATGATGTATGTACACACTTCCGAAAGGTCAAATACTTTTGTAATATCTTTTGCTAATAGGAGTAGTGATGCGAACACTTCATAGGTCGAAACACTAGATGAGTTTTCTGATTATCATATACTTTGTTTCTTGTCAAAGTCCTCCCTCTACAATTGACACAAAAGAAGGCACGATCTTTATTGTTCAATTGATATGAGTACCATTTTTTTTCTCCTTAGTGACATTAGCGCCATGAGTAGTAGAGAACTTTGCATTAAGCAAACCGTTTATCAACTCTAAATCCATTTTACTACTCTTGATTTTTCCTTTGGCAACTTGATGCTCCTCAAATATATAGTGCTTTCTACGAGTAGTAGAATTTTTTTTTTTTTCTTTTTTTTTTTTTTTTTTTTTTCTTTTTTATTATTATTTTTTTTTAGAATAATATGTTGTAGGATTATTAATATAAGATATAACTAGGGGTGGTTATTAAGCAGGTCGGTGCGGTTCATTAGCGGGGCGGGTCGGTTGTGGGTCATGATGAATATTTAGAGGGTCAGGGTCAATGCGGGTCAGGTCGGGTCATGATCGGGGTAAAAGTGAAATAGGCTGTTAACGAGCCTTTACCCAAATTTAATAGAAGCACAGCTCATATGCCAAAGTAAGCACAGCTGAACACGAAGCACGCTTAAAGTTCTGAATCAAAACACCATCAGGAAAGTTAAGGCAATAATCATGCTAATTTACTGCCATAATACAAAGAAATCCAATGAAAGTATACAATGAAATACGAAGTATGACACTAACAATTCAATTAACAACACCAAACAATAAAATTCGATTTCTCCGTTATATCTCACTTCCCTTGTAAATCAACTAACCACCAGCCCTCATGCTTCGTTATATCTCACTTCCCTTCTCCTTCCTTCTTCCGACTTCTCCGATGTCGTCTCTGTCGCTTGGTCGCCGGAGACTCCTTCCGGCGATCTCGCCGCCGTCGCTGATAATCGTATTTTCTATTTCAATATGATTCTTCTCCAGGTATTTTTTTTTTTACAATTAGCAAAATTCGATTTTTCATTTGCTATAAACAAATTTTACAATTATTTCTTTCAATGAAATCGTGATTTTTGTCGAAAAAGTCGATTCGACTGAACCCAAAATTCGACAGGTAGTTTTCTTTGTAAAATTCTCATTGATATTCTAATAATCATCTGAATTGAACTTATTTTGAGCTTATTAACGCTGAAGCGGCTTCAATGGAGAACTCTGAGTGCGCTTCAATGGAGGAGAGAGAAAGGTGGGCAGAAAAACATAAGAGAAGAGAGAGAAAATGGAATTAAGGCTGACCCTCGGACATTATTATTGGGTTTTTTATTTTAATTCTTATGCCCTTTTCATTAAAAAATAAGACCCAATAAAAGTCATGTCCATTAAAAAATTAAAGGGTCAAAACCCTTTAATATTAGACCTGACCCTTTTGTCATTGGGTAGCCTTACCTGTTTAGGGTAAAAATACCCTATGCCACGTGGCCCACTAGAATCATGACACGTGGCAGCCCACCAAAGGCCTAACGGGATCCAATCGGATGCTGACACGTGGCATCAAAACCCTACTCAGGGAACATGTCTCCCCCACTATAAATAAAGGAATCCTCCTCATTTATTGGGCATTCATAAATACATACACAAAACCCGAGCAATATTAATTGCGGAATCTCTCTGAATTAGTGAGAAATACCTATTTACTTTCCGCCCATTTACCCATCCGTAAATCATACTAACTTGATCGTCGGAGGCAGAACTCCACCTAACCGGAGTTTCGTGGTTTTGTAGGTACAGAAGTCAGGCGCGCATACTCCGTATTGTAACTCTCCCGAGGGACTAAAAACACCCGAAACATTTGGCGCCGTCTGTGGGGAGAGTACTACTGAGATGGCATCTGATGCTGTACCAAGTGTAGAGGGCAGCCGGCCTCCGGCTGACCCTGAGGTCCATACGGACCATGAGAGTGGCAGTGGGGACGACTACGACGTCGAAACCTACATGGCCCCAGACGGGTCATTCCGTTTTAGGCGCACCCGTTCCAAGGAAACAAGGGAACGGGATCACGACAAAGTAGGTCACAGCAACCCAAGCGTCAAGCCTGTGGGACAACCCCAGGCGGCGGAGGGTGCTGCCCCCATCACCAGAGACGAACTCATGAACCTCATGACTAGTTTTAAGGGGGAAATCAAGAATATAATCAAGAAGTCAGCTGGCTCCAGCAAGGGTCAGTCGGCAAAGAAGCCTTCTCCCTCCGAGAAGAAGCAAATCAAAGACCGGGTGCCTACTCCGCATCCCAAACCCAAGGGGACGGATGGACCCCTGATCGATCTCTCAAAACTTCGTTTCCCCGAATCGGGGCAACGGAAGGCCATCCGGCATACATAGCCGGATGGGTCAAAGAAGACTTTCTCTGACGCCCGGTTGTTTATCCAGGAAAAGAGAAGTCAGAGCATGTCTCAGTCGGCTTCAACGTCGATCTACTCTGACAGCTTCCGAAATGCTTCAATGAAAAATTCGGAGACGCAACAGGGGAGTCAGTCACGCAGTATGTCTGCACGTACTAGCCCTCATGTGATCCAGCAGCAGGCCCCGTATGTGCCCCAATAGCCATACATCCCGTATGGATCTCCATTCATGCAGTCGACACCCTTTGGGGGTCAGGCAGCCTACCAGGTCCAGCCCATGGACTGGCAGCTCCGACTGCTAAACCTAGGGGAACAACCTTCGGCTTTCTCCCGGGAGATAACCGAGGCGGCACAGCCGGCCAAGGTTAAGAATGTGTTGGTTGGTGCCTACGACGGTACCACCAACCCAGAAGACCACCTAATGGCATACACCAACCTCATGTACCTACAGGGGTTGGATGACGCCGCCTGGTGTAGATGCTTCCCGGCTACATTGAAGGGCATAGCCAAGCGATGGTTTGGCAACTTGCCGGCTGGGTGTATCAATAACTTTAAGAAGCTTGCATACCTGATTGCGTCCAACTTTTCCATGAATATCCCTGCTAAAAAGACAAGTCTCGACCTAGGGGCTATCCAGCAGGGTGACAAGGAGGGACTTCGGTCCTATGTCAGGCGGTTCAGTCTGATGAGAATTCAAATTCAGGGGCTGTCTAACGAAGTTGCATATACAGACTTCTTCAAGGGTCTGAAGGATGGGTCAGCTTTCAAATTTGACCTGGTCCGCAAGAGGTAGCCACCCTCCAAGAGGCGCTGATGGAGGCAGAGGCCTATATACAGGCAACTGAGCTCTACTCTATCAAACATCCGTCGGAGCCCAAGCGGTCTGACAGGAGAGACAGCCGGCCTAACCAGCCGGCCAAAAAAGAAGAAAAGAAAAGAAAAGAAGTCTGGGCAGCTTGGAATCGGAAGTCCTAGAAGAAGCAAAGGAAGTTGGAATCGTACGTCCCCAAGTACGAGTTCAACAAAGACTGCTCCTCCATCCTCATGGAGATAAAAGACCGGTTGACCCTTGAAAAACCGGCTGCCATGAAGAGCTCTGTCAAGAACAGAGACAAGAGTAAGTACTGTCAGTTCCATGAGTACGTTGGCCATGACACCAATGGTTGTTATAGCCTCAGGCGGCTACTGGACCGTCTGGCTGATGAAGGGGTTCTGGAGTCCTATCTGGTGAAGTTCAAAGGCAACCCCACCGGCTGCTAGCTCTGAAACAGATGAAGATCATATCTTCACTATAGTAGGCGGCTTCGCAAGCGGAGGTCCTACCATCCGGGGTACCAAGGATAACATCCGCAAATTATCTAACCCAGAAGATGAGGCCCAGGCGTCGAAAGACACTTTCCCTGAGGTTTTCATCTTTGAGAAGGATAGGGGCATGGTCAGGCGGCCTCACGATGACCCCCTTGTCATCGAATGCAAAGTTGCAAATCAACGAGTTGGTCGGATCTTAATCGATACCGGGAGCTCGTCTGACCTGATCAGCTACCAGTGCTTGACAAAGTTCAAGTACAAACCTAGCAGCATGCACAAGGCCCCCCATCCCCTAGTAGGCTTTGGGGGAGGGGTAGTGCATCCGGTGGGGAGTATTGACCTACCCATCCGGCTAGGAGGTAAAGGGGAAGGGCGACACATGGTTGTCAAATATTAAGTGGTCGAGGAATTGACCGCCTACAATCTTATTCTGGGCCGCCCCACCCTCAACGAGTCCAAGGCTGTCATCATCCCCTTTCTTATGATGATCAAGTTTCAGAGAGATGACAGATCATTAGGTACCCTAAGCGGGGATCAGAAGACGGCTAGGGAGTGTTACCTCTCAGACGTCAGACCGACTGTTACTGAAGCCGGTCATAACGAGGAAGTTGCTGACCTAGAAGACTCGGAAGTCGTGCCTGCTCCCAAGGCAGCCGGCAAAAAGCAAAAGGCGGACCAACTGGCCCTCGCCAGAAACACAAAATAGCAATCACTAGCCGGGGAAAGGCCGGATGACT